TTTTAATTAATTAATTTTATGAAACACGTAATAAATTTTTGACGTATTCTTTACAAATTATACATCAATTTTTGAAAAAAAATTTTAAAATTTCAAGAAGGACAATGACTTATCCTCTTAGTTATTTATAAAATGACAGCAACATGTAGCCTAACTTTGTAGATGCACATACAAAAGTAAAAAGGTAATAAAATTTGGAAAACTTCTTTTATATATTGTCAATGTATAATTTTTTTTACACTATCATGTTTAGATCATATTACATAATATGAATTTAGATTTTAAATTCAAATTATGCGCATATGCGGCATACATTCAAAGCCGTTAGTGTTAAAAAAAAAAACACTACCCTTACGTTGTGAGTGTATAAAAAGTTAATTCATAAAATTTTGATAAATTTAACACCTCATACACAAAAATAAGAGTTAAAATTGGTATAAATGTGGTATAATTTTAAAAAAAACATATTCATAATATTCATGAATGATATTTCTCCATCCTTCCCTATCTCTTGTCAGGATAACTTTTTCCTTTGTCCCTAGTTCTAGGGCTACTTTTGCGTACTTTTTTTTTTAACGATAGAATTCTTATAATCTAATCTAAGAGGAGGGGAAGAAAGACTCGATATAAATAGAAACTGCATCGAAGATGATCAATTAAGACTATTATATATTGTGGCAATTTTTTGTGGGAGGCAAGGATTACCAAGACTTTTTAAAGGCTTGGTGGTGACTACCGGGCCAAAGGCCCAGTGGCTACTTCTGCGTACTTTAGATGATGACCTATGGCTGTAGTTGGGAGTTGGGACAGAGTAGAATACTTTAGGTCTCCCTTTCGGATAGAAACCTTTAATCAGAGCTCCACCATATTTAGGTGGCTGTCATCTTCCTTTTCTTCAAATTGATTTTTTTTATTTTCTCTGACTTGGAACTTTTAAAAAGAAAAGGTTTTTCAAGAGAACATATGTGGGTTATTATCATAACTAATGTTAGAATTGAAAGGAAACTAAAAATCAAAGTTTCAAAGGTTAGGAAAAACTCTTCAAACAAATTTTTATCACTCAGAGAAAGAATTAGATTCATCTGATGAGGACCCCAAATAAGAAAGTGATGGATCAGCCATGCCATGTTGGGTGGCACACTTTCTTCTCTAGAGACCCCGCCTTTATGAACACATTAAAAAAAATCAATAACTGAAGAAAATATTGAAAATTGACACGGTGCATTTGATAAAAATAAAATCTAAAATTTGAAATCTAAAGTTTTGAGATTTGAATCCATTAAATTATTGATTTGTTCAGTACTGAAATCCTAACATGTAAACGTATTCTGCATTAAGTAATAAATGAACAATTTATCACTTATATTTTGGAGTAAGTTTTGTCTAGATAATTTAGAGCCACTTAATTATTTTAAATGTTCTATTTTTTGGTTATAAAACACATTTGACTATGTTAAGATCATCTATTAAATTTCAGTGTAGAAATGAGTTATCAAACAAAGCCAAAGAAATAAATAGAATAGTGGATACAATAATGAGTTTATTGCCAAAATAACTCTTCTTCCAAAATATATACCCAAAGTAACCTAATTTTAAAATTTATTACCTTTGTGTTCCTTTTTTGCCACTTAGGCTGCATATGTGTCAGGATGAAGATAAAAACGTCCTCCATTTCTCTTTCTCATCTAATATTTTCTCTCTAAACCTTCCCACATTTTTTTCTTTCGTTATCTTTCCCTTGTCAAACATAATCTAAGAAGCCAATCTTTATATTAACAGTATCTAAAAAATATGTTTCGTGAGTCAATAATCTTAAGGCAGATGAAGATTATTCTCTTGTCTTTTCAAAGAGGAGGAAGGAAAACAAATATGATAACATTAAAGTTTTTGTAATTGCTTACAATTTTCGTTGCAATTTTTGTATTTTTAAAATTTATTTTTTGAAAAAAATATATGCAATAGATTTGATACGTTTAAAAAAATTCAGAAACCAATAATAGCAAGGTCAATAATGGTAGAATTTATTTTAGGTAATTATAAGGAAATTATAAAAGTTATGCAATCTTCTTATGCTGCTATAATAAAAAATTTTAAAATTTTAGTTCATGTTGGAAACCATAAACTGGATTAGAACTTTCCTTTCTTGTTATCCTACATGACAATCAGGATAACTAGATGGCAACAATAATGTCATTATGGTAATAAAATTTGAAAGTGAATCATATTTGGCAATATTTTTTAGCAAAAGTGTTATTTTGGCAAAAAACTCATACAACAATAGCAATTTGTGTATCTTAAATCACAAATAACTAATTAATATCCCTACTCAATAGCAATTCCTTTATGACATTTCAACTGAAAACATGCATATCCTCGTGCAAAGTATTATATTAACTAATGACACGGGCACATTCTATGTGTGTACAAATTTAAAATAAGTAAATTTTTAGACAGAAAGTTAATAAAGTTTTTGGTAGTTATTGAGGATTTATTTTAGACATATGAATGGAAATAATTTGTTTTTCTATTTCTTTTTTCGATAAAAATGTTATGGGCCATTATTACCATATTAGAAGTTTTGTTAGACTTAAAAAATGGGAGATATATGTGTGTGTGTGTGTGTGTGTGTTTATTTTTGGGAGATGGTAATACCATTTTTCCCTTTATTTGAAGGATAAAATAGGATTACAAAAAGTAATAGAAAAAATTTACACCAACCCTGTTCTCTCCTTATATGTACACTGTATGTATGGATAATTGTTTGCGTATTTGTAGGATTGCTTCTTCTAAATATGTCAATTATCCAATCACTACACAAAATTGTTGGTGAAATTTTTCCTTCAATAAATGCCTTTAGGTCTTGTTTGGAAAGCAATTTTTGGAAAGAAAAATTGCTACGTTTTTTTAACACATTTTCCAATCATCTTTTTACTTCATATATATCAAATCGAAATAGTAATTTTTCTACAAAAAATTCTGAAAAATGCAATCCAAATTATCATTTCATGTCTATTAATAACCTGAAGTGTTATTTTTTTCCCTTGAGAACTCAAAATTTGTTCCAATGTTACCCATCTTATCAATATTTTCCTATGATGGCAGAGTCACACAATTTTACAAATTCTAAGGGCACATTTGCATCCAGTATAGATTTATTTTTATGGGGTCAATTGTGTCCAAATATAAATTTCGACCAGAGTCCTTGAAGTTATCAAAGTACTGAGGACTTGTTTGGTTCATAGGATGACACAGGATTGGATTAATTATCCTGTGTTATCTCATATTTGATTACATTTTATATATAGGATGACACATCTTACTTAACTGAATTAATCCCCTATTTATGGGATAAAATAATCAAATAGGGGGAGGTGATATTAGTTATCCTGGGATAACTAACAAATAGGATGATCAACTTTTAGACTAATTAACTCTTAAAAAAAATATAAATTTATACTCTTATAATTATATAACCCAACTCCCACGTGATAATATAAAACGAATGGACTAATTTGCCCCAACTAATTAATTTTAAAGTTTTTGACTAATTTACTCCTACTACCAATATAATATAATTAGACTAATTTGCCCTTATGAGTGATACAAATTCATACTAACTATTATATAACCATACTCTCACATAATAATATGATAATAAATGGACTAATTAGCCCCTACCAACTATATTGAAATTTTTTGACTAATTTGCTCCTATTTATTATTTTAAAAATTTTGACTAATTTACCCCTATTAATTAATTTAAATTTTTTGACTAATTTGCCATACTAACATCATAATAGAAGGACTATATTGCCCTTGGACTAAATAATCCTTACTAAGCTTATTTTCTAAACCAAATTCTATATAAATATATAACCTTATCAATTGGCCTTTATGAATGAGGATTTCAATAAACTCAAACTCGGTCCAAAGAAAAATCTTCTGTATTAGATTGAGTTCAACTCATTTAAAACTCTTAAATGGGTTAGGTTTTAATCGATTTAACCCTAACTTAGCAAAGCTCAACCCATTATTTAGTTGAATTTCAAATTTAGGTTAAAAACTTGGTCAAAAATCTATTTTTAAGAACCCGAATGGGTTGAGTTTGAGTGAATGCAAATTTTTTATATCTTAAAACCTGTGATTTACGATTTACTTTATAATTCTAAAGTTTCAAACTACTCTATTTTAATAAAAGTTATAAATGTGAAATTTTTTATTAAATTATTTTTAATATTAAAATTATTAAAATTATATTAAATATTAAATTATTTTATTAAAAGAAATTCTACAAATTAAGGGGTACTTTGGTCATTAAAATAGTAATCTTTTCTTATCTAATTTCCAACCAAACACGGGATAAGATTATTTCCCAACATATCCTATCCAATTTATAACCAATCAAACACTAGATAACTTATATTATTTATCTGAAAATGACTCAATTCAGGATTAATAATTCGAGCATGAGTCATTCTATCTTATTTGGTCCGTGAACCAAACGAATCCTAAGCGATCAAAACCGCACCATATTATACTTATTGACTTCGCAAGAAAAAATATTTAAGAAAGGGTTTTTTTTAATGGGTACCCATATCCATTAGGTACTTTTATTTTATTAAGACATTTAAAATTCACCTAACCTATCATATATACACATACTAATAGTTATTACTTTCCCTTGCATTTAATACTTTTCCCATCCAATCTGACCAATTATTTCTTGTATTTATTTACTCTTCCTAATTAATCATACATCTCCAAAAATACTCGCTCATATTTATATACTTTCCTTAATTAATTTTACATTTTCAAAAATATATTTTAACACCACAAACATATCTTAATGGTTGCACAATACACAAAAAAAAATGCACAAGGACATAGCACGCTAGACTCCTAAGGCATGAATTATCACCTTCCATTGCATTTAATACTTTTCCCATCTAATCTTACTAACCTTCTATCGTATTTATTTACTTTTTTTAATTGATTTTACATTTTCAAAAACACTCCCAATATTTATTTACTTTCCTTAATTAATATTACATTTCCAAAAATATACTATATTGACATTACAAATAGGTTGCCCAATACAGACAAAAAAAAAAAAAAAATAGCACAAGGACATAGCACGCTAGACTCCTAAGACATGAATATCCCACGTACATTTTTGGAGGTTTTATCTGTAGATTAAAATCCTCACCTGCCGGTGGGATTCATGATCTCGGAGAAAACATTATCAGACTTTAACATGTCACTACTGGCCGTGAATGTCCCGGTCGTAATACTACGGCTCTTCATCATGGCGGCAGAATCTTTCTCAACTCCCGAGTCTGAGAACACATCCTCGTCATCCTCAGTCGTAGTTTGCTCATCTCTTCCCAACCCATGCATACGGAAAGCAAATGGACGTCGACCACTCTCATTTTCAGCCGCCTCCTGAAGCTGCAACGCGAATTCGAGGCTCCAGACTACATCATTCATTCCGGGTCGTTCAATCCCCTGATCTTTCAAACAGTTGATCGCCGTTTCAGCAAAACTCCTCAAACACTCGGGAGCAATCTCGCCCTTCATGTGAGGGTCTACAGTTTGATGGATGATCCCTTTAGCGTAATACCTCTTGCCCCACTCCGCCAAATTCACCTGCTCCTTGGGCAAGTTGGGAATAATGGCTCCCCGCCCACACAGCACTTCGAGCAAAACCACCCCGAACGAGTACACGTCCGACTTGTCCGTCAACTGCTGTCTCTTGTAATACTCGGGATCTACGTAGCCGAAACTCCCCTTCACCTGCGTGCTGACATGGCTGTGGATTCCACCGCTGGGGCCTAGCTTGGACAGACCGAAATCAGAAACCTTGGCCACCCATTTCTCGTCCAGTAATATGTTGGTTGACTTGACGTCCCGGTGGATGATATTGTGCTTGGCGCCGGTGTGGAGATAATGCAACCCTCTGGCTGCGCCGATGCAAATCTGAAGCCGTTGCTTCCACGGGAGGGGTGGATTATCTGTTTTGTAGAGGTGGTCGCGGAGGGTGCCATTGGCCATGTAATCATAAACCAAGATCATCTCTCCCTTCTCATCACAGTAACCTATCAGGGATACCAGATGAAGATGCCTTAGATTCGACAGCATCTCGATCTCGGTTCGAAATTCGCGGACCCCTTGACTTGACGAAGGATTTAATCGCTTAATAGCAACTGTGGTTAGACTATTGTCGATGTACCCTTTGTACACGTTTCCGAATCCTCCGGTTCCGATCACAAACTTAGCATCGAAGTTGGCCGTAGCAAAGATGATCTCCTCCAGGGAAAATCTTCGGCAAAGATCCAGCGGCAGTGACGAAGACCTTGATGCACTTTTTGCCTTTGATGACCTGGACGTGGTTGAAAGTTCGACCCAGGATGACTTTGAAGCACTTTTCTGGTCAAAATCTTTTACCCGTCTCCTTAGCCGCCGGGAAATCAAGAAACCGATGACCAAAACCAAGGCAGCACCTCCGACCACCCCTCCCACGATAGGAAAAAGTACCCGAGATTTTACACCTCTCCCCTTTTTCGGTGACTTGCTGTTTGGCATCAGGGAATTGGGACCCGCCGCCGGATCAGGATTGGTCCCGGCAAGACTGCCATCGCTGTTGCTCAATTTGAATAATTCTAAACCATTCAAGATTGCATCAGCATACTTCGGCTTGACGTCGAGATTTGGGTGCAGAGCAAGAAACAAGCCTTGCTTGCTGGGCCGACCACCCGGTGGGTGTGGAACGAACACGACGTAGTCTCTGAAAACCGGGATTCCGGGGCCGCCGGTCCAAGTTATAATATCAGCCTCTTCCTCAGCTGTTTTGTTACTGATGAATATCCTGAACACCCGTTGGTTCTCTTGTGTAATCAAATCAGGGTTAATCTCGCAAAAATGCAACCTCAGGAGATAATCAAATCCAGAATCAACAGAGAACATCCAGCTCAAGTTGAAGCGGGTGCTAAAGTTGCCCATCGCCCTTGCGGTAGCATAAACTATCGCTGGTGCAGTGTAATTTGGGGTTTGCGGAGTGTACTTGACAGCAATTTGATTATTGCTCAATGGATTCCCTGGATCTGCGCCCCAGATGAAGTTGTCATCGGAAGCCCACCCTCGGAACATCCCACTATCATCTAACGGAGAAACAGCTTGTCCTCCGACGTTAAGCCTGTAAAGAGCTTCGAAGGCAGTGTCGTTCTGATTTAACTCGAACTGATTGTTGGGATCATCCACGTCTTTGAGGGAATTACTGGACAAATCATAGTTGCCCATGTAGAGTCCGTCCGGGGTTGAAACAACTTCAATTCCATTAATGAACGCGTAGGACTGCGTAGAGGGCAAAAAGGTAACGTTGAGGAATTGATTCATAGCCTGAACATTAACGATGAATTCTTTAACGACGTAGGCAGGTGAATTGTCCCTGGCAGGAACTGTTAAAAATGCGCTAAAGTTGCTCAGAAGGGTGTAGTTATTAGCCATGACAGAGAAGAAAGATTCAGTTGCGTTGAAGTCGCTGGAGTAGGAGGCCGGGTAGAAGTAAAGGCGGACGAACTTTTTGCCGGGGGAGACAGGGAAGGTATAGGAGAAATTAGAACGAATGATACGGGCAGTTAAATAAGGTACCGAAGGGCCTTGCTCGGGGGCTGTGACAGCTGATGATATATTCGCCATGTCTTTAGGGGTGAATTTTGAGCCGGCGTCGCCGTACCAGTTCCGGCCATCGGTAGAGTTTGCGTTTGAGGATGATCCGCAAATGATCAGGATGTAATCTGTGGGGCTGTAAGGCGGAGTACCGCTGGAAGTGATGATGAACAAGAGATTGAAGAGAAAGGAAAGGTATACAAGAAGAGTAAACATTGGAGCAAAATTAAGAAGGTACCCCAAAACACGCAGATTACTCCTACATCGATGGAGATGATCGGTTTAAAGCTGGTGTAGGATTTGCAGGATGAGGTGGGAGGAATTATTGGTCCTTGGAAAATGAAGTGAGGATGGCTCCGTCACTGTAAACTCCTGCGTGGACTTGCCAAGTCGGAAAAGTCAAGTCTTTAGACTGATTCAAACTATACTATACTCCCATACTCCAAAGAGCAATTTCTATAATTTCTTTTGGAGGCAGGTAAGGAAAGGGACAAATTCCTGCTTGAAATTATTTCTTGGAAGTTAGCAAAATAGAAAAAGATTCTTGGATTTATCAGTCTATCACCCGGGTTGGCAGCCGGCTGCCATGAGAAAAGAGTCCAATATAGAGCTGGGGGGACCATGGTAATTGTGGTCGAGTCTGTGAAGAGAAAGCTGTGGGGTACTTGAGAAAATTCTGTGGATACTAAGACATTAATTTCAATGAGAAGACTAGCAGCAGCAGCAGCAGCTGCAAGATTGCAACTTCATCTTTCAGTATCATTGCTGTATTAGCAGCGGATATGGACCGGTTAATTTGGAGCAACTCTGGCGGCCTTTCTATTAGAGCTTCAGTCATTTTGACTGTGTAATTGTAGTTCCTTCAGCTCAACCGATGTGAGTGGGGCAGTGTAGCAGTCATTTTGACTGCTGCTTTTGAGATCGCAAATAGCCCGTCTGGATACTATTTTCTGGAGTTTCTGTGAAAAAAAATATTGTAACGATATGATATGAGGTAAAAAAAGTGATTGAAAGATGCATTACCGCAAAGTGTAAAATTTTTTGGGAAGAAATGGGAATCCAAACAAGGCCGACTCTTGATTTTTGCTTCACCTCAAGCGGTGAATTTTGTTTACATGTAAAATTGATTAGGCAGAGCATATGAGTGGCATATGCACATAGATTACTTGTTTCGGTCTTATCAATTTGTTAATCAATCAAGCAGGTAAGAAGTGCGAGTACGAGCTTGTCATGGAACGGATGCAGAAGATCCAGGAAGCCGAAGCCCAACAAAAACAAGGCTCCCCAGCGGCGCAGCCTATTCCTCAAACTGCCAATGCTTCATCTAAAGGTAATTATTTTTTAGTTTTTTCTTTGAGTTCTATTTTGGATTTTACCTGGGATTTTTTGGAGGCTTTTTGACATTTTTCTGGGTTTCACGTTTTATTTGGTTTAATCTTAGGGAAGGTAAATAAAACTTTTTTTCTTGGGTGACTGTTGGATAGGTTTTGTTAAGTGGGTTTGCTTTAGTTTTTTTTTAATTGACAGTCTTTAGGATTTATAATCTCTATGTTTTGACAGCTTAAGGTTATCTCTGAATGGGGTTTTTGGCATAGAAATGTAATTTTTGGTTGAAGTGCTTGCAATTTATGAGCTAATGACTCGTATAATAGACAATTTAATGACAGTTTTGGTCTGCTATTGAGAATTACTCGCTTCATCCCAAAAATTTATTGCACTTCGGGAATTGTAATTTTTATGAGGAGTGGATAGAATTTGAAAATTGATGCTGTGGTTTCTCGTTTCACCCCCATGAAGAGCTTTAAGTGTTGTACTAAGACATAAAGAATTGTGGAGCCAAGATGTTTGTCCAATCGCAGATGTGATTGCCAACTAGCGCGTGCATCAGAACACTTAATGGCTTTAGTTTCTTAAAGCCAACTACCGCGTACTACAAAAGAAGTTGTCTTAGTTTCGTTGGTAATAATCTGTGGGCTCATGAAAAGACACATGCATTGGACTTTTAGGGAGTGTTTGAACGGTAAATGGACGAATTGAATGCAAATGTGTTAGCCAATTTATGTAAGTTATAAATATTTTGGGACAACTAAAAAGGAAAATATGACTGTGTCAATGGAACGGAGGGAGTATTAATCAAGGATTTTTCTTGTTTTAGTTTTGTAAGTGGTCATTTACGTTTTCTCCAATCGAATGTGGTTTAATTCAAGTTTATGAGTTTCATACTGAATTTCAGTATCTGTTAAGAGTGTTGCATTGCTCATTTATGTGGTTCTTTGTGATAAAGCTTATATCCTTCTTTTGTACCTCACTTTTGTTGGTTGGAGTTTTGCTTCAGTTTTGTTGATTTGCATTGGTAATTCTCCTTGTGTGTTTGGGTTCTTTCAATGTCTGTCTGTGGATGTTGAGATTCATATGCGTTGAACGCATTATTTCCAACATTGTGCTTGTAGATTTTTTCGCAAAAGTTTGTTTTTCAAGCAATAGGTTTTCTCTGCGAAATATTTTGACTGGAAAGAAAATATTGATTCCATAATGCATGAAATATTATCTCTTGCACTTGTGGATTTTTCTCACTTATGTCAGGGAAGCTTTGGTTTCTGTTTAATGTTGTAGGTTTTATTTGATAATTTGAGGTACAGAATTCTGCATCAGAGTGCTGTCCTGGGGCACTGGCTGTTTTTCAGATTTAGGTTGGGTCCTGCAGCAGAGTTGGGGAGGAGGATGGGCCAAAAGGCACTGGTGCCTGCCTCCCCATGGTTATTGTCACCCAAAATAAGTTGGACACTCAAGGTCCTCTTTTTGGTTGAAATGAAGGATTCGGCACATTGGGGGACCTAGTCAAGAGACAACCAAGAAGTTTGTTGATTATCGGTTAAAGGGCAACATGTGGTGCTTAGATTAGATATTTCACAGTTTTCACTAGTTAGATGTTTTATTCAAGATGATTTAGTTTATAGGAGATGAGTCCATAGTTGGAGACGATCATGTGTAGGTCTATTGGTCTTAGAATTTACTTATGCATAGCTGCCCTGAAAATCTGAATCAAAGTAATCCTTTTTTAAAACTGAGAGCTTTCCTGTTCAATTCAATGGATGAAGTTAAATAGTTCCTAAACCACAAAATAATTGGCATAAAGTTAATTGCAGGATGCCGTAGTTTTGCAATCTTTAGTCGGTTGGTAGGCAACGAATAGTACCACTTTAGAGACAATGTATATGAACTTGTTTTAGGATGTATATGCTCTGTTGCAGCTCAGACATACTCAGTGAGAGAACTTTTTAGTTCCTTTGCTTTGTGTGGATCTGTGTTTAGCTTTTTGATACCTTTGAATGTTCATTGATATTACGTCTAACTCCCAAAGTTGTTTCTAGATGTGCTAACTATAGTGGGCTGATTAGTTTTCTGTTGTCAACTGAACAAATTTTGATAATTTTGTAATTGAAGCTAATCATTCTGTTGTAATGGAAAAGATTGCAAATGTAGTGCCTTTGTACATTTAGCCACTTAGTTCACCTGCACTACATCAGGTTTCTGTCTAGGGTTTTTCATTTGTACCTGATGTTTACCAAATTCTGTCAAAGCATCAATCTGAACCTCTTATGAAATCATCAAGCTAAATGGATGTCTTCTTTTTTATTAAGAGCAGTTGTGTTTCGTGACTACTTTTTAGTTATATTAAGTGAGTAGACTATGTGATGTGTGACAAACCGGCTATAAGTGCAACTGCTCGCATGAAGAAAAAACCATGGGATTTGGCCAGTTACAGCTTTCATTTCTTGTATGAGCCTCATTTTTCACTTGATACTGGGCAAAAGGACTTGAAAAAAAAAGAAATAGGAAATTATCCATGTAGTGGAGCTAAACTGCAAAACAGTTGTGGCCTATTGAGGTTTGTAGCCAAAAGTTCTCTTCCAAGGGGCATGTAGAGATACATTGTATCCCCAGCTGGGAACGAATCTGATTAAACAGCTTTTCCAGAGAAAAGATAGCTGAGGATAATACTCACATTTAACAATAAGCTGTAGTCCTTGGAATCTGGGCTTTTATTGAGTTTGAACTTCAGTTGAATGGGAAGTATGCTTGAGTTAGGGGCAGAGAGAGATAAAGGCAAATAACAGTTGTTGACTAGTATAATTTCTGATATCTTTTCCTTTCGAGGTTGGAACAAAGTTCAATTCTTAACAGTTGCTTATTAGCTACTTTCATTGCATAGTGTTTTAGCAGCTCTTGTACTGTTATTGAAGTCTGAAACCCTACTGGCTACTTGCTGGTAACAAAACTGCTGTGAGTGCAAGTTGGCGTGTTACTGGTTTGGTAGCTATAATTGCGTTGAAGAATGATACTCAAGCCTGTTTGAAGAGGTTTCGCTGATGGCATTATTCAGAAAAGCTTTAGCTGGATTCGTCACTCTTGTCTTCAGTAACTTCAAACACGATTATAATCTTGAAACCTTTTTTTGTAGGAGTTTGCTTTCTGTCCTCTTAAAACCAAAGTTTTTGTGGGGCTTGGCTGTAGAAATAAATCATGTGTGTTGAGATGAGGGGTATATGTGGTTCCTAATATACATTCATTTTTTCATGACCAGTTCCGTGGCGTAGGGATTTGATTCTTCCGATCCAGATAGAAAGGAAGAGAGAAGTGAGCTTTATTATGTGATTGAAATTTCCAGCTATCACTCTCACCATCTATCTTTCTTGGAGGCCCAAGCAATGCAAAACATTTTCCAAGACATGGTCATCGAGTTATTTATAATTTTGTCAGGGTGAAAGCCATTGTCGCCATAATGGGTATAAGCTGCACCATGCTTGTCAAACTGGTGACACTAACAGATTAGCTACCTGAAAATCACCCTTCCACCTATGTTACTCCAGCTTTTTGTTTTACCCCAGTGTGCCCGTGTCGACATAACTTGACACTGGTACTGGTATGGGATCCATTTGGGGCACTTCAACAATTTTTTGGGTACTTTCTTTTTTGTCAGTGGATGTTGATGGTGAAGGGGGAGGAGAGAAGTGAAGTGGAAAACTTTAGGACTTTCATGTTAGAGAGACAGAAGACCTATCTAAAATTCTGAATTTCCCTTGTATAAATGAAATCTGAAAAGCTCCCAAGGCAAAATGGCCCTGTTCGTTAACAAGTAAACAACAATCGATGTACATAATTTGTATATTTCCTAGAATGTCCATCATACCTAAGTACCAGTATCCAACTCTTTAGAAGTGTCCCTTTATCCTGATTTTAGATGATTAAAGAACTAACATAGTTGTCCACTCTGTTACAGCAAATTGCATGTGTTTTGGTGTTAAACAATTGCTGCGTTTAGGATGGCAAATTTCGTCTTTAATTGTCATGTAGCAGGAACTTGTTCACCATAGAGCATATAAATACACATTTGGAGGCCTGAAGTCTTTTTCTTGTGGAAGTTCTTGGACCAGGAAAAGGAAAATGGATTTACTGGTCTGATTTATGTTGGAGATAGTGGTTGAGAGCCCTACTTTATTCAAAACGGGAAGAAGATTGTGTAGAGTTGTGGTGATACTATGTGCAGAGCAGCATTGAGAAGTGGAAAACCAGTTTCTAGTTGTTCTACTATGACAGGTCGTCAGCCTGTGCAATAATAAATATCTGCTCAAACTAAAAATAATTTCTGTAGATAGTGGTGAGCAGGGTCGAATCCACAGGGACTGGGAGTAATTGTTTCTTTTCAAGTTCACGGTGACAAGGGGGTGTTTTTGTGCAGAAAGTGACAATCAAATAAATTCAAATAAAATCTAAGAAACTACTAAAAATTAAATAACAAATTACTAAAATCAAATGAATGATAATTAAGAATCTAGCCAAGAAATAACTTCAGCAATGGTTCACCTAATTGATCATCGATAAGCAAAGGCAATTCTAATTATTTACTAATAAACAGGTTATAACTACCAAACAAGCAATGGCAGTCAACCCCTCCTTACTGTGTCGGTGATCAAGGTACGCCCGTTAATCACTGCTCTAATTGAGAAATAATCTTAGATACGCCCGTAGAATTTAATTCCCCAATTGCCTTACGTATTAGAGGAGCCCTATTCTAACCAAATAACGCACTACCAGGGTTATTTTAGATTAGCCCGCGTATTCCCCTGACACAAACTCAATCGTGCCAGTTGTCACTATTTTAGAGCAATTAAACAATTACGGATTTAATGCCCTAATTGACAATAGATTACCCAATCAACTAATTATCTGGATCCTAGACAGTCAATTAATTAAATAACCATAAGCATAGCAATCAAGGAATATGCGAATACCAATAAATAAAAGAAAAAGATTAAATTAAATCGATCTCACAATTTTAGGCGACCCAAAGCATCCGTTGCTCCTTGACTAGAAAAAGGAATTTAGTTCATAGTTAATGAACAAAATCCACAGGAAATAAAAACAAGAGTCGCGGCCATGGTCTGCGTCTTGGAAAAGTCCAATTCGCTTCAGGAAAGGAAAACGAGGCTACAAAAGGTGATTGCTTGTTACTAATTCTTCCTGACATACGCAGGGGAAAGGAACTACTACCAACCAAAAGAAAAGTCAAAGCTCAAAGCTATACTACAAGACGAAAAAACTAAAGAAGACCAGAGGATAGTGCTCTCCTCCTGCAATCTTAATTCCTATTCTAATTGCTACTCCTCCTGTGCGGCGTCCGCCGCACCCGAGAAAAAGAAGACCCTCAGGTTTGCTTTCTTTTCCCTTTTTCTAGTTGCTGTCTTCGGTCAAAATTACCAAAAAGGTCATGCATCTCCTTGTTCCAAGAATGCCCTTGATTGCCTGCTATTTGAACTCTTTCCCGATGACCGTCAAATTGGCCTTGATTGTGACATTTTTATTCTACTCCCTGAAATAAATGCAAATTACGAAAAGTGAGTAGAATCTAATAATTAATTCACATTGGGTTAAGTAATAGGGGAAATTAATTATAAAATAAATGATAAAATTACAACCTATCAATTCCCCCCACACCTAAACCATGCTTGTCCTCAAGCATGAGAGCAAGAAACAAACACCAATATTTGATAGTGGCTATTGCTCTATCCAACAAATTGCCAAGATACCAAGAAAAAATAATATTCAAGCATCAATGGTCAAGTCCAAGAAACATCACTCCGGTTAGCTTCTAAACCATAAACTCTTCCAATTTCAGATTAACTAATCTAAGAAAAAGGAATGTCGCATAACATTTATCAGCAAATGGTCCAACTATTAATCAAAATCTCAACATTAAATCCATAATTCGGCAAGCTGACTTTTATTACACACTAACACAACCTTCACTTTTTTTTCACATTTTTTCTACTTTTCTCTCTTTTTTTTTATTATTCTTTTTTTTTTTCTTTCAATAGTAACAAAAGACTGGGTCGCTAGCCATTTGAGCCTTTTGACTCGAACTCCAACATTGGCCAGATGAAGGAGCCCGGTTACTCAGCTTCTATCGCCACGTGACCACGTACTCATAGGAACTACTACCTTTTGACGCGAGAATCAACACTTGTAGGTGCAGATCCCCGGTTACTCAGTAGTAACTAATAGCGGAGTACAGTCAAGTTTATTCATAACTAAAAATCACAAAAACTCAATATAACACAAGAACCAAAAGAAAACTTGCATCAGCTAACCTCATTTTCAAACATGGAGAACTAAAGTTAATAACCGGACCAATTCACATGAAAGTGCCAATAATCATTCCCTATACCTAGGAAAGTTAACCAAAAATTATAAGAGTAAAACAATCATTGATATTCACCCAAGAGATGTTTTTGGATTACCACATTAACTTGGTACCCCTTTATTACTAAAACTTGGCAAAAGTAGAAATAGAGGTAATAATCCAACATCAAACCTTGGCATGCACTTACGAGCCAATCACTAAAAAGAAGAAAAAATGAACGAGAGATGGACAAATAACAAACTAAAAATAAAGAACTAGTATAGCTGTCCCCCCCACACCTAGATCCTACATTGTTCTCAATGGAGGGATTAAAGCAATTAAAGTGAAGAGGGCAACGAAACTTCCCTCACGAGTGGCGAAAG